GAGTGAAATAATTTCTGTTCAATCTGCAAAATATATAGTAATTTGCACTTTTTGAAGTCTGAAAATATTTCACTAGTGTAAAATAATTTAGTCTAGGCAAAATATTTTGGTTTTACCTGAAACACTAAATAGGGTAATAGCTATTAATTAAATTTTAATATATAGCAAAAATATGACTAAATTGCTTAGAGTGGGTATCATTAAATAGTCTAATATAGTACAACTTAATTCTTGTAATATATAATATATAATAAGTTCTTAAGTTCTTAATTAATTATATGGGCTGATTTATAAAATAGACAATAACTTTTTATCTAGTGATCTGTTTTAAATAATTTAACTGCCAAAATGTTTATCAAAATCTAATTATAGAATTCCAAGTTATTGTCAATTAAACAAAATTTCAACCAATGATCCTAATTATTTGACCAATAAAATTGGCCAAACCAATGTTTATGTAACTCATTTTATTGGTTTTTTAATAAAAAAAAGGTTATACAAATATTGGTTTGGCCAATTTTATTGATCAAATAATTAGGATTATTGGTTGAAAATTTGTTTAATTAACAATAGCTTGGGATCCTGTGATCAGATTTTGTTGATTTTGGTCTTGTTTGAATCCTCTCAATGAGCTAAACATTTTGGCAGTTAAATTATTTAAAACAGGCCACTAGATAAAAAGTTATTGCCTATGTTATAAATCAGCCTATATATAAAAACTATAGTATATAAGCAATTTACTAAAAAAAAAAAAAAAAAAATTACTTTATATAAGTGCTACCAAGAAAAAACCTGTTATCAGACTTTTAATTATATTTTTGTTTAGAGTGTAATAATGAACCCTTATAGACAAATATTTATATAATTAGTTGTTTAAATCAATTTAATTTTATATTATTTATATAGTTTAAAGTATTTTTTTAAAAAAATAAAACTATTAAAGGGTGTAGCAACTTAGTGAAGTAGTTGGATTGTCATATCCCAAGTAATTTCTAGCTAAGATACAGAGTTTGAATCCTATTAGAGATGTTTTAAATTTAAATACTGATGCTATAGTAACAGATCTTCATTGATTAGTTGGGTGAAATACTTGTAACTCTAGTTACACCAATGTACTCGAGCAGCAGGAGGGGCAAGCAGACTTGTACATGTAAAAAAGAATACTACTGGATCGTCCTCATAGGCCTTATGAGGTTCACTATCATATATAAAAAATATATTATTTTTTGCTACTCTACTTGGCTTTAGAATTATATTAGAAGCTCTATAATCATGGTGTAAATTTTTATATACAGGGATTGAATTCTAATGCCTTTTTCTCATTGAGATTGTTAATTTGTTTTTTTACCTATCTAAACTTTTGTTAATTTTAAGTTTGCTAATTTGTCTTCTTATCTTTCCAAAGCTTGTTAACCTTAAGTTCACTAATTTGTTTTCTTGCTTTTGAATGCCTTTCTGATTGTAATCCTGATATAAAAAAATAGAATAAGTATAAATTTTTTGGGATAGATATAAATTTTTTCAGGCTAGGTATAAAAAAATCATATTAGGCTATTTCCTAAAGGTCTTGACAGAGTAAATTTTTTCGAAAAAAATTAATATAAAGGCAAAGCCTCCTCACTTTGTGAGTCAAATCTTCTGTCTAGTGGCCATAGCCCTATCTCAAAATTTATAAGGGTATGCATTTATTACAATGTTCTCTTTCTTCTAATCCAATTGGGATAAAATATTCTCGACAGAGTGAGATATTAAGTTTTGTAAACTGGTCTCTATATCTATTTATAAGTTGCTTATAAGTAAGGAGATGGTTTAAATTTTTCTAAGCAATCTGATTTCTGAATTCTTGTATCATAGCCCCATAGTCCTATATCAAAGCCTATTAATATACTGGGTTACATAATAACTGTTAGCATGTTTTCTACAAAGGCCAGGTTAAGAACTCGTTGGCTTGCTACAAATCCTGCAGGGAATATGCTTCTTAGCCTTCCAATGTTCAAAGCACCCTTCAGGCCGATGGCAGGTTCACCCACAAACAACTCCAGTTTTGAGTAAATAGTTGCAAGAATATTCACCTATCATGATAAGAATAAATATTTATTTTAAACAAAAGTTTTTGCTATATTAATACAAAACTATATTTAATACTTGCAGAAGATGATTAACTACAAAAATATCGAATCAGCTTTAGTTGAAGTGATTAAAGTTTCATATAGCCAAGGCACCAAAAAATATGACAAATTAGGAGCGATGTATGTAAACTATCTTAAAACTTTACAACGAAAAAGAGATCCAGAAGATCATGTTAGATATGTTGCAAAACAGCGCGTCCCAAATGAGGAAACTTATAATGAAAGAATGGCAGATTTCAAAGATTGGTATAATGAAGAAGTATATACTAGTCTTGAAAATTTATATAAGTTGTATTTCGAATTAGCTAGTCAGGAAGAAGTTGTAGAAAAAAGATCCAAAGAAGAAGTAGATGATATTCTTCAAAGAATTTATGGTTTAGAAATTTAATATTGTTTAGCCACTGTGTGACTGCCTTCGACAAGGATCCGTTTAGGTGGATACTCAACTTTACCAACTTTCATCAATTGTTCTCTTACGAATGATCTTTCAGGACCATCTCCATTTTCATCCATAAGCCAGTATAACACCGGTTGATTTTTTTGTATTAATGATTCTTTAATGCGATAAATCTTTGGAGACCAATTCATATCAGTTATGCGTCTTCTGCCAAATTCTAATTCTCCGGGTTCAAGTAAATATAAAACCGAATCTTTATAGGTTAATCGAGGTTCATCAAATCCAATAGGTCTACGATGTTTTACAGATGGATCAGCAATTATTTTTTCACTCTTTAAAGCTTTTTTTACAGCTTCATTAGGAGACATATGAATTAATCGGGTAGGAGTATCATTATAAATGTCATCATTAATACGAAGATCTTTAACCCAAGATCGACATCTCTCAGATAATGGTAAATGAAAATCTACAGCATCTTGACAAATATAGGCATGTTTCTCAAATTCTTGATGATCACGTTCAGCTATTGATGTATTACGTTTAGATTTAGCTTGTATAATTTTTACGCCATGACTAAGTAATAAATCTCTACACTCACCTAGATATTCAGTACCTTTATCCACAATTAAAACTTTTGGCCATGTAAGATGATTATTAGGATCTTCATAAATTGCTTTAAACATTTTAGCTAATGATACAGAAGACTTATTAGTTAAAGCACAACTTTTACGAAATCTAGTCGCTACATCTTTTATAACACCCCTATGCTTGAAAATTCGATTACCAATTTTATCGTGAGAAAGAGGTGTAAGATCTGATTTATGTACTTCATTTAAATCTCGTATGCCATTAAAAGATGCATATTGAATAAATCTTGGTCAAGGTTTATGAACTAAAAAAGTTATCTGTTCATTTAACCAGTTTTTTATATCTGCTAATAAAAAATTATGACCAGCATTTCTACAAGCAACGTGCATTTTTTCAGCAGTCCGATAGTAACCTTCGGGCTTATAATATAGTTTTTGCAATATGATCTCCCTATCCAAATCATGGGCCTTCTGTGGGTCAATATAAATCACAGGTTTCTCCATTCCCTGCCAATTCGTTTTTCTCATTGTCAGGATTATATAGTATAATAAAAAATAGTTAACAATATATATTTGAGCACGAACTTGTGAGTGGATAGCATTATAGTCAATAAAAAACAATGGACGAGTTACAACAAACCAACCAAGAACTCTATGAGGTAGTATCGCAATTAGCGGAATCAAATAGGAATTTTGAACAACGTCTATATACCTTAGAAAGGGTTATAGGTATACGGGAAGAGAGAATACGATTTCTTGAAGAAGAGTTAAATAATGCTATCGAACTCTCTACACAAGAGAAAGAAGAATTAATAGAAGAAATTTCAAAATTAAAAAGAATCGTTCACCAACTTGAGGAAGAAAATAAAAGGAAAGACAAAGAAATTTCTAATAAAGATAGATAAATATCAGAATTCGATGAATGCGAAACAAAATTAAAAACCTGAATACGAGAGATATCTAAATCTGCTGGAAATACGCCTAAAGCACAAGATTATACAACCAGATTAGTAGATGAAAACGAACACCTTAAACGAGAAATAAATACAATAAGGGTTAATCAAATAAATAAGATTAATAAAATAAATCAGCAAAAAAATCGTATTACAGACCTGCTTTGTCAAAATTTTGCATCAGCATTATTAAGATATTGAGATAGATTAGAGCTTATAAATACACAAGAGGTATTAGAAAATACACAAGCATGGAATTATAATGAAAATGAATCTAATTCTGATGAAAATTCTCAAGATAATTATACTTTTGATTTAGATATGGGCACAATAGCTGAATTAGCCGATACTATAGACAGATCCTTAAATGATACAACAATATGTAAAACCGTTTTAACAAATCAAATTAAAAGATCAACAAGATCAATTCGACGTAAATATGCTAACTTGCAACAAGATTTGGTGAATGAACGATAGATTGTGATATATACAGGCAGAAGTGAGATCAGATATTGCTTGAACTTCATCAGTTACGGACTAATGCTTAGAATCAAGTAAACAGAATGATAAATAATATAACAATAAAGCAAACCCGTATTGGTGCATTGCTATGTGAAAATTTTGCTTTTTAGTTATTGTATCAGTGAAATGCCTGCCATCTACAACGATGCAGAGCCAATAAAGCTTTGCTAGAATATAATCGAAATAGGTTATATAAACGATATGAGAAGTGGAAAAATAAGACTCATGCAGAGTGCCAAAATATTTTAATTTTAAATCAACAAATTTTGGTGCTTCATAATAATCCACCAAATCAAATAAACATGGCTGATGCTAGACGTTTACCGGTATTAAAATTAATGGCTCTTGCTCTTGCAAAATTTCTACCTTATACAGGCCAAGAACCACCTGATGATTACTTGAATAAAGTTATTCAATCATAGGCATATCTTGAAGGGCATATGATGGTTCTTGAGAATGCAAGTGCAAGAGATTTTGACAATACAGTCAAGTGTAATATTTTAAAATCTATGATAGGTAGAAAATATGTTCCAGTATCAGCAAATAATAATCTTGAAGTAGGAAATCCAGCTATAAATTCTCCAGATATATTACGGGCTTGGATGAGAGCAAAATACCAACGGGAGATAGTTGGAAATTAGCAATCAGCTATACAAAGATTGACTCAAGAAAAATACCAACCTTATGATACTCCAGATACTTATAATGCTAGAGTTTGGCCACTATTATTAGGAGTAGCAGACAATGACGTGCAAGTTATAGGATTTCTTAAAAGCCACTTAACGGGTGATTTTTACACTTGGATAAGAATAGCTAATCCAGCAGGCATTAATACATTTTTCACTAATCTAAAAAACATGTGGCTGGAGCGTGGACAAAATTTGAGTAAAAGGATCCTAGAAGAATCAAGTCAAATTCTCAACCAAGAGCAAGCCTTACCTAGTATAAATTCAGTGTTCTATTCTTTACCACTAGTTACTGCAGCTCCTTAACAGCAAGGAATTTCTTTAGAAGATATGCAAAAAGTAATCCAAAATGCACTGGCACAGCAAAAAACTGAATACCAGTTTTTATTAGAAAAGCAAAAAGCTGATTTCCAACCACAAATAGCCTAGCAAGCAGTTGCTCAAAAAGCACAAGCACCAGCTCCACAAATTGTCGAACCAGTTAGACAGCCAAGAGGTCCACCACCTTCATTACAAACAGAAGAAGGTATGGAAAATTTTCACTTATCACAATACTTAAATAATTTAGGTATATTTAGTAGAGAAGATTTCGACAGAAATTATCTTATAAAGCCTTTTCAAAAACCTCATCAGGGACGATTATATTCATCAAATCAAAATGCTAGAATGGATAGAATAGAATCGAAAGTAGATGAAATTAGTCAAATGACATCTCAATTTGGAAAGATGATGCTTGATAACAAAAAACCCATAGCTAAATCAAATTCAACATATCGATACTTTCCTCTTCTAATACCTTCCCAATCCCAATATGCATTTCCTAATTCAGATGATAATGAGGATGAAGAAGGTGAATATAACGAGGAAGAGAATAAATGACATGCTCCATCTCAGTCAGAAAAAAAAAACAGGTACCAGTAAACGTAACAATCTTACCATCTTTGTCCTTTACAGTAATTGGCACATCTGTATACCATCCTAATGATTCAGATATATGTTTGAAATTGCCCTTTATAGCAAAGTCAGAAGGCTTAGCAGCTTTCCACCCCAGAGCATTAATTGTTGTATCATTCACTCCCCAAATTCACTTGCGCTATCTAAAAAAGAATTAGTGATCAATAGATCATTTATATTACAATGCAAGTATTGCAATGACAAAAACCATTCATCTGATTTTGATTCTTTTTCCTGGACTATATGAGACTGGCATATTTTATACATTGCCAATAAAAGCTTTGGTAATAGTTCATTATATATTTCAGGCTGACTAAGTTCTGGAAGCATTTTTTCATTTACCGGTACCTGTTTTTTTTTTCTGACTGAGATGGAGCATGCCATTTATTCTCTTTCTCGTTATATTTACCTTCTTCATCCTCATTATTATCTAAATTAGGAGATGCATATTGGGATTGAGAAGGTATTAGAGGAGGAAAGTATCGATATGTTGAATTTGATTTAGCTATGGATTTTTTGTTATCAAGTATCATCTTCCCGAATTGAAATGTCATTTGACCAATTTCATCTACTTTCGATTCTATTCTATCTATTCTAGCATTTTGATTTGATGAATATAATCGTCCCTGATGAGGTTTTTGAAAAGGCTTTATAGGATAATTTCTGTTGAAATCTTCTCTACTAAATATACATAAATTATTTAAGTATTGTGATAAGCGAAAATTTTCCATACCTTCTTCTGTTTGTAATGAAGGTGATGGACCTCTTGGCTGTCTAACTGGTTTAGCAGTTTGTGGAGCTGGTGCTTGTGCTTTTTGAGCAACTACTTGCTAGGCTATTTGTAGTTGGAAATCAGCTTTTTGCTTTTCTAATAAAGACTGGTATTCAGTTTTTTGCTGTGCTAGTGCATTTTGGATTACTTTTTGCATATCTTCTAAAGAAATTCCTTGCTATTGAGGAGCTGCGTTAACTAGTGGTAAAGAATAGAACACTGAATTTATACTAGGTAAGGCTTGCTCTTAGTTGGGAATTTGACTTGATTTCTCTGAGATCCTTCTACTCAAATTTTGTCCATGCTTTAGCCACATGTTTTTTAGTTCGGTGAAAAATGCATTAATGCCTGCTGGATTAGCTATTCTCATCCAAGTGTAAAAATCACCTGTTAAGTGGCTTTTAAGGAATCCTATAACTTGCACATCATTGTCTGCTACTTCTAATAATAGTGGCCAAACTCTAGCTTCATAAGTATCTGGAGTATCATAAGATTGGTATTTTTCTTGAGTCAATTTTTGTATAGCTGATTGCTGATTTCCAACTGTCTCCCGTTGGTATTTTGCTCTCATCCAAGTCCATAATGTATCTGAAGAATTTATAGCTGGATTTCCTACTTCAAGATTATTATTTGCTGGTACTGGAACATATTTTCCACCCATCATAGATTTTAAAATATTACACTTGACTGTATTGTCAAAATCTCCTGCATTT